GGAGGGAGGGAGGGAGGGAGGGAGGAACGCCATCAGCACGACCCAACATCATCACCTGCTCCTCAGCGCCACGTAGATGCTCTGAGCTGACTCCCGGTGCTCCCCGAGGAGCCGGAACAGAGAGGTTCGAGATAGCTCAAGGATCTCACACTCCGTCACGGCCACCACCGTAGCCATCCACCTCTCGGCCAGGATCAGCGCAACCTGCCCCCGTGTCAGCCCTTGTCCCCCTCAACTCCCCACAAGGCACTATGACCTCTCCGAAGTAGTCGCCGTCCTGCAGCCGGGAGACCTGCTCCCCTCCCACGAGAACCTGGGCAACTTCTCAGTCTCCGTCTCCTCCCCCCGCTGACTGGCAGATCTCCGACCTTGCATGCCCCGCGGACGACGAAGAAGAGGCTCTCGCCCTCTCCTCTCTCCTGCAGCGTCCGATCTCATGCTCCAGCCCACACAGAGGCAGCAGGCTCACCTCAACGATCACCTCCCCCGGGCGGACCCAGAAGGCCTGCATGTTCCTGCAGATGGCGCTGATAAGGTGGGGAGGCGCGTCTTGCAGCAGCGGCAGCTTGCTGGCGGCGTTGATGTACGACTGCCACCTCGCTTGCCCGAGGCCCGACAGCTTCCTTGACACAACTCCCACCTGCTTCTCCTGTCGCTCCCCCGCGCTCGGGGCAGGAGCTTCAGCCTCCGCCTTCTCATCCTCCTCCCCTTCATACCCTGGGGAAACCCCCGAGAAGTGGACCCTTGAGATCGGGACGATGTCGGCCCTTTCCCCCTGCAGCCTCAGCTGGACAGTGAGAGAGATGCCCGTGTCCTCGAATGCGCTGCCGTCCGCACTCGGCATCAGGAAATACAACTCATGCTCGACCTCTTTGTTGAACGCTGGGACGGAAGTCAGCTTGACGACGTTGACCAGGATCTGTCCCCTCCAACGCCATGAGCTCGACGCGCTCTGGGGCCCTTGCCCTGATTTTGACTTAATCCACAGACAGACCTCCAGCTGCTTGCTTGCCAGGTCCTCGTTGTCGATGTTGAACTGAAACCACTGGTCCCAGGAAGGACGGGAGGATTTCACTACAGTCGTCCGCACGGGAGCAACCGATTTGTCCTCGCCATAATCGCTACTGATCAGGTTCCTTTCCCCCAGCAGCCGGAGGACGCACGTGATCTCGTCGCCGTCATGCTGCTCCTTCTCCGGCAGATGCGCACGACCAATGGCGACATGCAGCGTGCATCCCTTCCTCACTGGTTCGCAGAGTCATACATCTCGAAGATAGCAGAGGGGACACAACTCACTTGAAACTGGGAAAAGAAAGCAAATAAAAGGTAGGACAACTTTAGCTTTGGTGGCCAAGAAAACTACCAGCCAATGTCAGTGCCACAGATACAACTGAAGTTACGCCCTGATGGTAAAATAGAATGCCTGCCTGCCTGCCTGAATCTTATGCTCTTATGCTCCTTCCCCTTCCTCCTCCCTCTCTCTTCCTCTTCTCCCCTCGCTCTCTTCCTCTTCTGTTCTCGCTCTCTTCCTCCCTCTCGCTCTCTAGTGTTGCTGCCAGCATGTCGGGTACAGCTCTTGCAGCTCTTTGCTGACGGTTTTGTTTTTACCTTTACACAGCTTTTTGTTTCTACTCATGGCGGACTCGTTTGACTCCGCCGGCGTCCCGGCTCCAGTGAACCGGCCGGCCCCCGTCGTCGGAGCATGCCAGTGCCGCGCCGCCGGACTCCGGGACTGAGTCGCCGCCGGGACTCCGAGCCTGGAGACTCTCAGGACCGTGTCCCGCTGCCGCGGGGGCTTGGTGCGGGGCGTCACCGTCGCGACCGTGAGTCAGTCACGAGTCACTACAACGGATCCCGGCCGGGCCGGGCGGCCGCGGCCGTAATGACCACCCGGCGCGCCGGGCCCGGGGGCCCGGCCGCACTGCTCCAGCCGGGCTCGTTGGACTTGAATCCGACCGTTGAAACCTCGGCCCGGCGGCTCAGTGAGGCTCACTGTCACTATTAAGTGGCCGACTCGCCGCCGCTTTTTTACTCAACGCCGGGTTGAGCCGTGGCATCTTCTTCACTCAAAGTTAAGTTAAAAATCAGTACGAGGACAATAATGAGAGTCGAGGAGGCATGACCCTGACACTGTCGCACAGGCCAAACGGCGAGAAGAGAAAGACAGCGAGAACCAAACCTAATCCTGCCGACTGCTGTCCCCCAAACTTAACTGATACCTTCACTTAACGGCGCGCAGGACAAGTCCCCCGCGCGGCCATGCCAGCGATGTCGCGGTGGCCGCCGCCGAAGGAATGAGACGCATACCGGGATGCACCCGCGATGATGGCAGCGTAGGACAGGGAGGCCTTGAGCTGACGGAAGATCCTGGACCGAATGCGTTTGCAAGTCGGATCACCTGAGACGTCTTGCGAGGCCGAGAGACCATCCAGCGCTGCCGTTTCCTTGTTCGCCGAGCGATCCGCCAGCCACCACAGAAAGCGCAACGCATCGTCCTGCAAGAGGCCATCAGTGCTGGCGATGATGGGAAGAAAGGCCTTTGGCGGGACGTGCTGAGCATATGCATTACGATGCCCTCGGATCTTCCGCTGTGCTGCCGCTTGCAGTTTGCTCCGAGCGAGGTCCGGTATTCCATCATTGTCAAACACATGTGACATGCTGAAGTCCAGGATTAACCCATGCCATCCGCCGCCAGTAGCCATCAGTTGTGGAAGTTCAAAGTCCCCTACATGATGATCTTCCGGGCCATGTTGGGAAACGTTCTGCCTGGTGCCGGGTACGCCTTGCACGTGGACGCGGCATCTCACTCCGGAATCTTTGATGAGGGTACTGAGGACGGCATTGCACTTCTCATGCGCATCAGTCCATAACTGGCTGCGGTGCCTGCAGGTTGCCATGTGTGTGGTCCCCCCAGGATGACGGAGAAGATGATGGCATCGATCGCAGTGCGGCGGGAGGTCAACCGGCAAACCATGAAGAAACTTGTCAGCGGCAGCCACCAAGCTGATGGGCTGCTGCTCAAAGATCCCAAGGTTTGTACTTTCCATAGTCGAGTGCCAAATCGTGCGCTGAGGGGTAAACTGAGACAGAAGTTCATCAACCGGGTGGCCTGGTACTCGAAGGGGAGTAGAGAAGCTGGAGTGGTGTGCCAACAAAGATCTCTGGCGCTCTGAAAGGTGAGCCCGAATACTGCGGAACCGAGGAAACTCCGAGAGGAACTGAGCCGTGAGCTCCCGCTGGGCGGGGATGAAAAGCACACTGCCCGACGTCCCAAATAATTCAGGCGAGGGGATCCAGCCATTGTCGCACGCCTGAGGAAGCTCCGCCAAGGAGGTGTACGCCGAGATGCCCTGCTCCATCAAGTGCCTGTGAGTGTCCAAGAAGGCAGCAAGCATGGGGACAACATCCCCAGCGTCCGCTTGCTGCGGTTGGCGGATTCGAAGCTCAGTGTCAGGACTGATCCGGTGGAAGAGTGGCGGTGTAGGGAAAGTCCAATGCTGGAAGATGGCAATTTCGCCCGCCCATTTGAGAAACTTGGCAGTCGCCGACCAGAATGCGGTGTAGGCCACGCCCTCCTGCGGGGTGAACCCATCTCCTCCAGCACTATAAGGCAACTGACGTTTGAAGTAGGCGAACTGAAGGTCAGATGGAGGGGTGCCAGGGGCAGGTTGCAGGACAGATGAACCCTCCTGTGCCTGGTTCTGTGGCCACTGAAACACCTTCGCCAGGAGACGGAGATTCGCGACGTCAAAGCACTTGCACTGGGCAGCGGTCAAGGCCGGGGAGATTCCACGCAAGAAATATTGGAGGGTGGGAACGTGGGTCGTTTTCAAGAGCTGCTTGAGACCCAACGCAATGGGAAATTGTTCCAACTGGGTCAATTCAGCATTGAGGGCATTCACCTTGGCAGTAATAAACTCTTGCTGGAAGGACTGAGATCCTATCGGGATACCTCCCAGGATGATCCCCTGGCCGCGGAAGGCAAACTGCTGCAAGCCCGGGTACCTACTGCAAATATGCTCTTGGATGGCTTGTTGCTGACTAGATTGAAGTTCACACCAGGACGAGGAGAATATCTGCGAATCCCTGGGTTGAATCTCCAATCCTAGCTCTTGTTTTAAAGTATCAACCAGCGATGCAGTGGCCTGTGCGGCAACTGAGAGCTTTCCAATAACAGCCATGTTATCCGCATAGGCCGGGAAGACACAGTCGGGAAAGGTCTCTGCAACTTTGACCAGGGAAGGGAAGGTGGTGTGCGCAAAGAGAGCCATCGCCAAGGGGTCACCCTGAGAAACTCCCGTGGTGGCCGAAAAAGCCCGAGTCTCTCGCTGATGTTTCAGAAATAACTTACCTGCCTGGCCATAATATTGATGGACATACGGAAGGACTCCTTGGGAAAAGTTCTCACAACGATGCTCGGGAGCAAGGAGGATGTCAAATAGCCGTTGGCGAGAGATCTCATTGAAGGCATTTCTTGCGTCGATCATGATGATTACCGTGGGATCAAAATTATCAGACTCACCTTCGCCCTGGTCTGTGAATGGGTTGGCAAAAGAATGGGGTCCTAACAGGCATTCGATGGTCTTGCAAAATTTGAGGCAACCTTCCTCCAGACCCACGCAAAATTGCAGGACCCGAGAGTGACTGAGGGTGAAGTGGCTCTCCAAAGATTTTCGGTAGAAACGACAGAAGATGCTAGACACAATCCTTCGCTCCAGGTCCCCTATCACAATAGGTCGGATTCCGCTCTTTTCCACTGACTTGGCAGCAGGAATGAATCGCCCCCCTCTGGTGTATTCCTCGAGGAAAGCGCCCGAAGGGATTCCCAGCGCGATCGGCTTCAATATGAGGTTAATGTATCGCTGTTTGTGATCATCATGCAGTCTGAGAATGTGTCGCAGGTGCTGGAACGGTCGCCAACCAAATTGATCAGGGGCCGAGGAAGCAGTGAATCGCCGCAGGAATTTCCCTACCTCTCGCTGATCTAAAATCTTGTCAAGCAATGAGGCCGGTTCATCGGCGATGGCATCGTCGAGCTGAGCACTTAGCATTTGCCTTGAGGAGCCGACTGCGTCTAGGAGCGTTGGAGGAATGGGGTCCAGTCTCATCGGAAATTTCTCACGAGTTTGCTGCCATAGCTGCTCAAATGGATCTGGGGAGAGGCCATGGCCCACAAGCGCCTGTCGAGCTTTCTTCATATCCCGATTTTGGTAATGCTCAACAGCCGAGAGGATTTTCTTTTTCTCCAACTGCTCGCTCTCCATCACTGGCTGCTGCACGCCCTCTCTCGCACGGTCAAGTCCTTGTGGGCGACCTGCATTTTGACGGTTAGGTTGTTGGCGCCTACCTTGCGGTGCCCGCGGTCTCGTGCCTCGTCCCGACCCCGTTAGTCCCGCCGTGGGCTGCTGCGTGACATCCTGCGGAGCTCCATCGCTGCCAACCGCTTGGCCGTCTTGGTCAAAGGAAACACCCTCTTCTAGTTTCAGCAGTGTCTCCCAACGCCCTTGGAGGAAATGGTGGATACGGTAGCTCACATCTCGATTTTGTCGCGAGATTGCAAGAACTGGATTCACTCTCAGCAAGAGCAGTGGGAGACAATGCCACAAGCTCCGGATAATCTTAGCTTCCTCGCAATGCAAGTCAGGGTAACCTTGTAGCAGGTCTAACGTAAACTGTAGCGCACTCTTCCATTTATCAATCGTCTGGCGATTGGGGTGTTTGATGGTTGTAATGGAAGGATTACGAGCCAGGAGTGCCGGAAGCTTATGTGGTCCCTGTTGAGCAAAGAGAGGGAGGGCTCTGTGCCAATTCGACGTACCACAAGGCATGTCTTGTGGACGCAGATTATGAAAGTAAGCCGCTGCGCTAGATTGCGTGCCAGTGTCCTCTGGGAAAAGATTTGCCGGTTGAGGAGGGGGCGGTGGGGGTGTAGGATTGACCGTAGGCTGATCGGTGGGTGTCCTCTGGGAGATGGATCGGCGAAATCTTGCCTGCTTCCGAGGTCTTTGGTTCCCCGAACCTCCTCCAGATCCAGCGGCGGAGGAGGCAAAGTCATCCTGCGGAGGAGACGCTGCAGAACGAGATTGCCCTTCCAGCATGTCAGGAGTCCGTAGGGGTTCCTGCTGTGAGCGTGGCTCAGAGTCAGAGGAGCTCTCTTGGGACACACGGCCTGTATGAGGAAAGTGGGACGACGAGCCCGGCGTGCCAGTCAGTAGAGGATCAACAACAGAACTGTGATGACGGAGGATGGCAGGCCGCTTGTGCCGCGCCATGATGTCTCACAGTGATGATGGAAGTGAGAGCGGATCTTCACGCTTCCCTTGTCGCTGTTCCCTCGCTCTCGCCGTCACCACCGAAATGAAAGTGGCAAGTAGGCGCATTTCTCCTTACACGCCATTTCAAAACCCATCATTCGGGGCCCCCAGCCATTACCAACCATTATCCGGGCAGTCTCCGAGCCTCCGAGGCTCCGTCGCCGCCCCGCGGGCGAAACGCCGCCGCCGGTTGCCACTCGGACTCACCCGGTTGGCCGATCGGACACTAATCCAGTACTATAAGTTTTAATCAAAGTTAAGTTAAAAATCAGTACCAAGTACGTTCACCGCAAGCCCCGACTGCACCCGGATGGATGCCGAATCGAGTAGTCGGGGGTGGGGTTCTTCATTGGTAAAAGTACCGGTCAGTTGCAGCTAGAACCTTTGGTTACGAGTCGTCGTACCGTCGTACCCCGCGCTATCTATTGGAAAGAGGGGGTAGGGGTGAGGGGTCACTCGGATGAGTGACCCCTGGAATTATTTTTGGCCGAATTGGAAATTCGATCCAGACCCACCCCACCCCCTCATCTCTGTAGTCCCTGGTAGGGTGATGACCACTGGTGGTACAAAAACCGATCAACTTCTTGAAACCGACAGTAATAGATCGAAGGAGTTTATATAATTCCATAACACTTTATGTAAGGGGATAAATTCCCAATAATAATGACAATAGAGTAGGGGTACTCTAGGAATCTTATACATAAAACAGCCACTAATTCTCATAATATTTTTGTGTTATGATATATTATATATAAATTTGCGCGTTCGAGGTCCCATTCGGTAACGGTCAAGGGGCCGCACTTAATTAGTTTGCTGCAAAGGGTACAAGGGGTACCCCTAGTTGAGTGAGGGGGTAGGGGTGGGGCAGTTTAGGCGAGTCAGCCGCTGTGTCCTACGATTCGTTCCGGAGGGGTACAGTGCCAGATGACCCCATCATTTGTCGGTAATTTTGAGGGGTCCAGAGAGGATAAAATAAGTTGAAGCCTTCAGAGGGGGTAGGGTGGTAAGTCCGACGGTCGATGACCCAGGTAGGAGCATAATGAGGAATGACAAGAGCAAACGATGAGGATGAGGGGTGGGGTCGTTGTGAATGTGAAATGGTGGGGGTGGGGTTTACGCTGCACCGGTGACTTCGATGATAGAAGCACCGGGTACTTTAGAGGATGTTCTGGGTCGAAGGGGTGGGGTAGAAGTTAATATTGGTAGGTGGTAGCAAAAAGGGGGGGTACTGCATGCGACTAGGCTCGGAATCGAAAAGTGTGAAACAGTGTGCATTTGAAGGCAGCACGAGGAGGGAAGGAGAAGCAGAGAGGAGGGGGGAGGGAGTAAAGAACAGCGTGTAGCTACATCTTACCAACAGATTCACTTCTCGACATTCTTGAGAGACCGCTTCGATTGGGGACAGAAGCTGTTGTTGATCTGTCAAAAAGCCGCAATTTCCCGAATTTTGTGGGATTTGAACTTCTTGCTGATATCACCGCCCGTACTGGCGCATTGAGGGTAATCAAGAAGAGAAAGACGTACAACACTGCTGAAGGACAGCAAGGAGACGCAGTAAGCAAGATATTGCGATGAAACCTCCGTCGGTCATTACCATATCAGCTGATGTGGGTTTGCTGCTGAAGAGGACACCCGACGCCGAAGACAGCATGATGGATGAAGACTACTGCGGGAGAACGGCCCCGGAGGAGCATGACTGGTGTCAGTTCGACTCCATCAACACCTCAACGATGACTTGTGTCTGTGATCATGCGAGTTTCGACGACCTCCTCATGTTCGATGGATGTTCACCAAACTCCAGCATGTGCTGTTTCGATGGTTGCCACGACGACATGGTGGATGAAGATTGTGTGACGCCCCTGCAGAATATGTACGGCTCGTGCGCCTCGATCCTCTCTGCCCAAGAAACTCCCCGTGCGAGTCAGATCGGGCAGGAGGAGGAGGAAAGGAATTACCACAAGGCAGAGTGTAGCCTAGAGAAGCTAGCGTACTCCAGGATGCTCAGGTTGCAGCTGTACAGCAGCATAGAGTCGAAGATCTCACAGCTGGAGGTGGACATGCAGGCAGAGAAGGACAGGCAAAGAACAGACCTCGAGTACAAGATCTGCAATCACAGCAGCATCCAGAAGTACTACCTCAACAGCGTGCAGCAGGGGGTTGATGACCTCTTGTCCTCGCAGACAGAGAGGATGAACGTGTACGAGGGGATAGGCCGCAGGATCGAAGAGCTGCAGAGGGAGCTGCACAGGAGAAACTTCCCTCCTCTCAGGAAGAAGTATAGGAGATTCACTACCTTCACACGCCTCGTCCAAGGGGAGGACGCGAGGTTGGCGCACGAGCAGCAGCAGATTTCTATCTTGGACGAGGAGGAGGAGGAGTATGACTACTGCTTGCAAGGATACGCGTGATAGGATATGAAGGGACTTGTAGACTAGTGGGGAGGATCAGATTCCCTTGCAACATGAGTTTTAACCTTGAATGAATATTTCTTGATTATCAGCCCATAGAATACACTACCCTATCCTCTCGCTCTCCATCCCCCTCTCATCCACGCTTCACATGAATCCTAGCTGCTGCCTTGCCCACTGAGCCTGCGAGACGCTCGTCTCCTTCTGTTGCTGAACAGAGTTCTCCTCCTCCTCCTCCTCCTCCTTGGGTGCAGCCTCCTGAGTGAAAGTAGTCGCCTTGCGAGCCACACGCAAGAGCTCGCCGTGCTCGAGGTTCTTCGCCTCTGGATCCTGTAGTACCTTGAGGCGGACGCGCGTCCCCTGGTCGCCCTTGATCAGCTTCACGACCTCTGCGGCATGTCGTAAGGACCTCTGGAGGAAGGGAAGGGCTCCTTGAAGGATCAGGAGGGGGAGGAGAAGCGGGAGGAGGAGAGAAAAGGAGGAGGAGAGCAAGGAAGAGTCAGGTAGGAGAGGAAGGAAGAATGCAAGAGGGGAGGGAAGCAGGTCTTGTGTGGAGCGGAAGTCAGGATGGCGAGGAGGAGGGGACCGTTAATGTTCAGCCCTGTCACAGGCATATCGTCGACGGCGAGGATAACGTCCGAGGGGTTCAACTCATCCCTTGCCATCTTCATCAAGTCAGTTGAGGTTGCTGCTCGCTGCGCTCCTCCTACCGTCCCGTGAACGCTGGTCACCACCATGAAGCCTCTCTTGTCCTGCGCGAAGGAGATGCCGATCCCTACTGGCTCTCCAGGCTTGCCGGCTGCCGAAAGAGTGAGGAGAAGAACAGTCGAGGAAGGAAGGAGATGAGCAATCAAAGAGGAAGGGAAGAAGAGGAGAGGAGGAAGAGAAGAGGAAGGAGGAGGTAGAAGGAGAGGTAGAAAAGGAGAAGGAGAGAGAGGG